ATTTTGTTCGAATATTTCATGCGATAAAATGAAATTCTTTTATTATCGCACTCTGCCAATGTTCTTTCGTGTCACATGTAACAGTATATGATTGCTGCACAATTACAAATCGGTTTCAATGATTTTTGCAGAAGATTCGAAGTGAACCGATATCACTCTTGAACTAAGAAAATCAATTCTAATCAAGTGATAAAATCTTGAAAGATTGTTTGAATAATAAGCATCAGCCATGTTATTTGTAGAGAAATTACAAAAAGACAAATGATGACATAGTAAATATAGATTTGAATTTGAGACAATATGAGATGGATGTAGGTAGAGATTTTCTCTTCACACATACCATCTACTAAGAAAAATTTTGACACAAATCTACCGCGAACATACCGTAATAGAATCTGTTTCAATGTTATGATATCATGATATTCAAAATTTCAGAGAAATTGTCTTTGCTATGGGAAATCTAATCTTATTGTTGATTAGAGATCGTTGATTTCTATTTGGCAAATAAGAATGGAAACTTTAGAACAGGTGTTTCTAGGTGAGCGTGGACTCTCGTCAAATATATTTCTCTTGCTAATTTCTAATAAATTTTTTTTTTAACATTCAGTTTATTGTTCCATAAAGGTTAACATTTGACAAGAACATGTATCTATACGCACATTACAAGGATATATGTTTAAAAAAAGAAAAGAAATCATTCTACCCATAAAGATCAGATTTTAAATCTTTGTCCTTATTCACTTCCATATTTATTTACGGTGGTTTAACACAGAAATATTTCAAAACAAAATACTCTAAAGTTAAGCTTGATTTTTTAAAGAATCCATATTGTTCTCTATGAACATCAATGAAAGATATTATATCCAGATATATATGGTTTGCACGTTCAGCAAGTCTTTTAGGGAAACGACTATTTTTCCTAAAATTCATACTATTGTAATACGTTTTAAACGGAGATTTCACGATGAAGTAAGCAGTTAACGTTTGTCTGTAAGTTTCCGCTTCGGGGGCCGTATCCAAATGATTTTGAAACCTTATCCAATATTTAAATAAATAATCTCGCATAGAAAGTTCGCGACTTAATGCAAGAGTAGTGAGATCGTCCCACCCCCAAAGGGAATACACCAACCTTAGACCTGTTCCAAAAACATGTTCAATTTTTTGTTTTTGTTTTTCAGTAAAATAAAAAAAACAAAAAAATAGCCAGATGAATTGAGGAAGGGAAAATGCTAGAAAAAGTCTTCTTCTTATCTTAATCTCGTTTTGGGGAATTGTATGAAATACTTTTTTCAAGCCGTTGTATGATTTCCTCACTTTTTGCAGTCTATCTTCTATAAATTTTCCCCATCCTAATTTTGTACTAATATGGACCCCTAAGCATTTGAAATTTGTTACATATTCGATCTGAACTCCATTATATTCAATTTCAGGTTTTGAGATCTTTACCGCGTTATGAACTAACATTGCTTTTGTTTTTGCAACGTTTACCGGAAGAATATAATTATCCGAGAATTTTTCTAGAATATTCAAAACTGTTCGAGCTTGAGCTTGAAGGCATTTTATATTATCGGATAGGCATTTTTCTAAATCACTTTTTATAATAAGTGTTAAATCATCTGCAAAAAGATGGCTTACTATCTGAGGAAAGTGCAGGGGCAAAAAGTACACGTGCAATCTAAATAAAAGAGCAGCAAGAACACTTCCTTGTGGCACTCCTATTAAAATAGGAAATAATCTGGACTTTGAGTCTCCATGAGATACTCTCATCCACCTATTTTGAAGCCAATTCAAAATCCACTTCCTCAATTCAATAGGCATTTCTAGTTTTTCTAAAGTATGGAACAATGCTGGCCACCATACACGGTCAAAAGCTGTTGAGAAATCTATAAAAAGGGCTAGGGCTGCTCGATTAGGTGCAGCAATAGTTAACCTCAAGTCTTCTACTATTCCTAAAATACGAGATTGCAACCATTTTTTAGCAGTAAAGCCTGATTGTTCATCTAAGTGAATATCTTGCTCATTGCACCATTTTTCAATTCTGGCTACTAAGACTCTTTCGAAAACTTTACCAAGATTAGGAAGAAGAGAGATCGATCGAAGGCGATCTACAGTTGGGAACACACCCTCTTTAGAAAGAAAAATACCTTTTGAAATTTTAGCACCTTCAAAAAATTTGCCATCAGCCGCGCATTTGTTGAAGAGAACTGTAATTGTACCTAAGTACTGAGATGGAACTTGTTTGAGAAAAAACGCAGAGTTTTCTACGCTATCCAATGACTTTTTGGGAGCAAATTTCTTCCACTGCAAAATAACTTCCTCAATCTTTATCTGCTCTATGGGAAGATTTGGAGAATGTTTAATATTTTCATACGCTTCTAAACATTTCAAATGAAAATAATTCTTATTATCAGGTGTTGGTTCAGCAAAGTGTTTCTCATAGAAATTTGCTAATTGATCTGCAATTTCTTGATTATTTTTCACTACATCATTTGGTGTTTTAAGTCCTCTGAACGCTGGCGAATATGGTTTAAAAACTTGACGTACATGAGACCAAATATTTTGACCATCTTTCATTTTTTGAAGTTTCTTTTCTCTCTTTTCTTGTTCAAACTTAAGTTTTTCTTGTTTGTATATATTTTCCCAATATTTAAAAGTTTTATAATCTTCGAAAAAATCTAGTTTTTCTAAATCTTCTTTTAAATTTGTTTAGTGTTCTAACTAATTCTACTAGATGAGATGGCCAAGGTGGTCTAAAATTTTTAATTTGTTCAAAAGTAGTACATCTATCACTCAAGGCTGCTAGAAAGTGAGAAAAAATGTCAAAGAAAGTGTTATAATCTATTTCGTAAACAATTGCATTCCAAAAGCAATGTACTACTTCAAGTAAAAACGTGAAAAGTTTCCAGTTTGTTTTCCTAAAGACACCACTTTCCGTAGCAGGAAAGGGTGATAAAAACAATACAGGATAATGATCAGAGTTACCCTCAAGGAGTCTCACAATCCCCCAATTCTCTTTACTTCTTCCTATTCCGAAATCAATTACAGAGTTCGATCTTTTTGAAGTTGGATGACAAGGATGTAAGGTTTCAAAACCATTATCAACTAACCATTCTTTTAATTTATTTCCTGAAACGTTATTAAACTCACAATTCCAGTCCTGGTGTTTTGCATTAAAGTCACCAAATATAAATATTTCCTTATCCTTATATTTATCGAATAATTCTAATGGTGGCATACTTCCGGGGGGTACGTAAATACTTGCAATGAGAATTTTTCATCCATAATTTCTATCTGAATCAAGACAAAGTTAACTGTTTCTTCAATTAGCGAAGTTCTCAGTTTTTGATGAACCAAAATTCCAACACCACCGAAACTATTCGTTCCTTTCGTACTATACCATTTAAAATTAGGAACATGTGGAAGCTTATTTATCTGTTTTCCTACTCCACTTAATAAAAATATGTGAGGTGAGTGATAAGCGAGTAAGTGATCAAAATCTGACATATGGGTAGATAAACATTCACAATTCCATACTAATACTGTAAGATGCCCAAAGGAAGTCTTAGGTCTAACTTTAACCCATAGCTCGAATAAATTAATCAGATGAATAGTGGAATTCCATTCATAAATAATAGAAAAAAGGGTATCTTTCTCAATGTCAGTTCCATTAAAATAATTAATGATCTCAGGATTAACATAAATCATACGTTTTCTAATTTCTTCATTATCCATTTATGAGTTGAAGCATATTGTCCATAGCTGTTGCCATAGTTTCATTTTGTTTGTCAGAAATCATTTTCAATTCTTCTTGATGACGATCAAATTCTTTATACGCTTCATTTATGTAGGATATTTGATTATTTATTAATTCAATCACATCATCAAGTTCAATATTTCTTACACGTGTTTTTAATTTTGTAATAACTAATTCTAAATTCTCTAGTGATTTGCTACATACAGGAACAAGAACTTGATTTAATACTTTACTCATAGTAGAAATTGTTGTTTCTTGTGTTTGTTGTACTTGTTTAACCAAAAGCAAAACTTGATTCGTTGATTGAACAATATTTTTATATTTATCTTCAATTTGTTTTTGTGCAATCTCAAATCTCTTCTTTTCTTCTTTCAATTCTTCAGATAAGTTTTTAATTGCCATACAAATGTCGGTTGAAACAGCAGATGTTGATGTTGAAGAATTATTTGTTTTCAATAAAGGCCATCCAATTTCATCAATTTTATTGTAATGTTGTTGTTGCTGTATACATTGATATTGCTGGTAAGCTTTTTCATTATAAATCATCTTTTTACGATCATCAGAACGGTATTCAGTTGGAATAAACAATTGAACTTCAGCTGGCATTCTTTCTGGATGTTTCTTAAGCTCATCAATCAATTCACGTCGATATTTATCAATGATTTTACATTTATAATCATTGGCTAAATGTTTTTCTTGACAATGATGACATTTAATTTCACAATCCATCTGTTCTTTAATGTTTGTTCTTGGTTTACCACATCTACGACATATATCAACATCTGAATTTCGACAAGACTTTTTTGTATGACCGGGAAGGTTACAACGATTGCAAATTAAAATTCGTGGAGATGGAAGATATTCGTCGACAGAATATAATTGTCCTCCTAAATTAATTTTTCCACTATTCAATATTTTAATATATTCTTTTTTTTCTAATATTTCCACTTTCATGTGACGATTTTTTTCATTCATAGTTCCATGCATTGATTCGATGAGGAATATACTTTCAAATTTCATGTTTAATTCATCACGAATATCATCATCTATGAATGAATTATTAACCCATTTAATTATCACCGTGTGTTGAGGTGGTAAATGATTAGGAGGAATTGGATTAATTTTAACATTATTTATTTGATTTGGATAACGATCTTTTTTACATAGGTAAACATAAAGATCAGTTGATTTAATAATCAATTGGATGTTTCCTTCAGGATTAATCCACCAGAGATCAACAAAAATATCGTTTGAAAAACAAGGATTTTGAGTGAGAAAACCAGGTGTAATGGTCTTAATTAAATCATTAATCAACCTTGTACCTTCTTTTCTTTCAGTAATTTTTGGATAACATTCCAATTTAATTGGTGGAAAGTGGTAATTAGAAGCATAATCTAATGCATAATTAGTTATTGATAATCGATTTACACTTTTATTTGTTTGATGTTGATTGCTATGAGAATAAGAAGAGATTTGGTTTTGATTGGATGGATAATGAATTGGACTTGACTTAGATAACACCTTAGATTGTATACTATGATCAATAATATTATTTCCAATGATCTTTTTTTTATTATTAATATTTCTACGAGTTTGAACAGATTTCCAATTATCATCATTTTGATTATTTCCATTTGAATCACTGATTGTTTGTTGTTCCAATGTTAGATTTGTTGATTTTGATTGTTCTTGTTGTTGGAATTTTTCAATCATCATTTGAGTATCAATACCATTACAAATTCTATCTTTTTGTTCCGATGTCATATTCTTGTAATTATTATAATTCATCGTCTTTCTGTAATATAGATGATTTTGAACTTGTTGACCTCAAAATCAACTTATCAAGTTGACAGAGAACAAAAATTTTAACTATATGTATATTGAGAGAGAATACGTCTAACTTTTACGAGAGCAAGCGAAGGAATGAATTTCTAATAAATTACTATTCCTTCATGAGTTTTTTTTTATAAGGAATTTATTCCAATATGATGAAATAGACCAATGTAACAAATAAATTTATCCATTAAAATAAAAGTTTAACAACGATCCGATATCGATCTGCTTTTCGTTGCGATGCTAATCGTATTGGACGAAAAAAGTTTCACAATAAAATAAGAATAAATTGGTCGCGTCTAAAGAGTTTTTCGATTATTTCCTATATTAACACCATTCATCTTACAGTTTCTTTACTTCGAATATTTGACTCATCATTAATTGAACAGTCTTATAAATTAATAATTAAATTCCCGACCAATAATAGCCTGCTTCGGTAAGTGACAAACTTTGGTTCTGACAAGAAGGTTGTCCATTAAGAGACATTGAATAAATATTTCGTAGTTTTAAAGATGCAAAAGCTGCAAACCGACCAAATCCACTGGCTGAACTAAATATATGTTGTTCACATAAACTAAAAAGAAAATTATCAAATATTCCTAATTCAAAGGCTAACATTCGATTATGTGCATATGATATATGAAAAACTGGATTGGAATTTGCTAAAATATTTAAGCTACTATTATTGGATTGACATTTATTTTCAGATGATTGAAAACATTCTAATGAGAATTGCCAATTTTTTAAAGCAGCTTGCCGTATTCGTACATCATCCGATAAAAGAAAAATAATTGGAATTTGATTTGTTTCACGAAAGAATGTATCAGTTGCATTAATTATTTGTTGAGAGCATGTAAAAAAGTTTTTAAATTTCTTAAGAATTGCTTGTTCATCGGAAGAAAGATCTATTCCAGTCATCGTTTCATCTCCAACACGAATTTGAATTCCAATTGGGAAAAATTTCGGTGATAACAGTGTTTGTAAAATTTGTTGAGGTGAATGACCTAATTGATTATTTAATGAAAATAGTGGAACTCTTTTAATCAATGCAGACAAACGATAAGTAAAAAGTGAATGAAAAAGGCATCCAAAAATATTTTCTGGATTCATTTCAAGATCAATAGTTAAAAATTTTTTATAAATACTTGAATTTGATTTTATTGTATGTATAACATTACCTGTATGACCTTTAAATATAAGAATACGTTCAGGAAAATTTTTTTCATAATCATAATCTTTAGTATATCGTTCAAGAGAAAACCAATAATTTTTTATTGTTAAAGTATGTTGAATATTTAAAGATAAGTTGTTCTTAATTATATCAAACTGAGAAAACCAAGGAATAACAAATTCTGGTTGATAATTTAAACTTGATTGCATAGTATGTATAAATTCCGGCCAATTCGTATCAAATATAAATAATCGATTTGTTAATAAAGCTACTAAATAACTTGAAATAAAATGAATTATTCTATCAGCAATACCTGATATCTCTTTTTCATAGATTAAAAAACGAATATTAAGTTCAGTTATACGTTGAGATTGTTCTTCAAATGTCATTGATCGATTACTAATAATAAAACTAATATTTTCATGCCATTTTTGATAATTTAAAATCCAATTTTGAAACTTTTTTGAACATACTTGACTATTTTTTGCTAGTTCAAATGGAACCAGACGTCTTGCTTTTATTGAAGTATTGTTTTTATCGAAAAAATTTTCATAAATTGACGCATTATTTTGTAAATCAAGCCAATATGAAACAGCTTCTTGCTCTCTGATAAATAACTCTCGTGAAGTTGAATGAATTAAAATATCAACAGAAGAACATTGAAAAGAATTGAAATGTAGTTTTGACGATTGACTTTTATATTTAAAGAAATTATTCAAATCTAAATTTAAACATTTCATTGTTAAAGGCCACTGAGACCAAGACAATAATTTTTCTTGATTAAAATTCGACCATTGATAAGTAAAACGGAATTTATCATCAGCTAAGAATATTCGATGAATATCAAGAGATATAATATCAGACATATTTTTTAATGATAATAAACAACTTGAGTTTTTTGACAAAAGAGTCAAATGTACTTCTGTAAAATTTAATATTTTCACATCAAAATGCAAGTAAATATGACAAACTGGATGAAAATTATTGATGTTTTTCGAGTTTTTCAAACAAGTTATTGTAAGACAATAAATTTTCTTGTTAGAATCATGTTTAAAATAATTCAAATGATTTTTTCCTATTGATGTTAAATTTAATTTTAATGTCAAATAATGATTATGAAAAATTGGTTGAAATGAATCTTTTTCTGCACGAGACAATTCTTTTTCATGTAATAAAAGTAATTCTATCTCGGATTTTCTCATCGATGTCAGTGCATTTAGCAAATATCCGTCGTAAATCCATGTCAATTTCAAATTAATTGGAAAAATAAATAAAAGAGTTGAACAAAATATAACCAAACCAAAAATACATTGAGTTTTTGTAACTGGATAGAATATTTGCCTAATTTTTCTTGAACATTGTTCTAACATTGACAAATAATACTAAATAGTCGAAAATCTGAAAGTTAATACTAAAAAATCCTTAGAAAAATATTAACTTTTGTTGAAAGAATAATATTTGTATAGAAACAAAGAATAGAACCGTCTATAAGCTAGCAGTCTGATAAATTCATATAAAAAATACTTCTAATTGAAAATGGTTTGATAAGTAGGCATAATTTGCATATACACTCGATTAGGTACTAAAATAATCTACAAGCAGACTTGAAAAAATATAAGATGGATGTGACGAGCGCTCGAAAATTTGAAATTCATATTTTTTGTGTGTTCTGTTCCAATTATGAGCCTCTCAGCAACCATTAGGTTCCGATTACCTGAAAATTGTATACAAGCAAGCATTCATTTTCGATGGTTTCTATACTTCTTGATTCTTCGATATTGACTGAAGTTGCGAATACTCGAGAAAAGAAACTTATGAAAAGTATAATATTGAGTGTTGGAATAGAAACAGCCCGAGCAGAATAATAGTTTCAAGTGGTGAGATTAATTTTGATTTTGTGAAGCTTTTTCAAAACATGCTTTACTAATATCTCTGTCATTCAGCCAACCTGAGTCAGGTGATTCATGTTTGACAAATATTTTCGTTAATTTAATGGTTTTTTAAAAAATATTTAACATAACGTGATGAAAAGTAAGAAGTAAGATCAGAATCCATAAGCGTTTTTGACAAAAAACACAGTCATAACAAGTTTTACGTTTTAAATGCTTGAAGTTTTTTTTTAATATTGATTTTATGCTTCATTTTACAAAGCAATTATTTATCAAATAAGTTCCTTATTTGGCATTTGAGACAGCAAAAAAGCATTTTCTGTAGTTACCAACACACAAAAGATGTTTTTTTTTATTTTCGAAAAATGTTAGCAACTTTTAGAGTAACAATCTTGAAAGTACTCGTCTTCTAAGAATTGAAACGATAACTTTCATAGAACAACAATAGTTCATATGTAGCTTATAAGTTTGACGAATTTTAATCGTAAGTATACATATTCGAATCTCCTCATCGGCTTTTATTCCATAGCTTTCGATTACTCGAGAATGAGACATCCATGGGAAAAAATCATTTTCATTGTGATCAAAATTTGATCCCCTGGGTAAAAATCAGTCGGCTGGTCGAAAAGTTCGTGTTTTACTGGCCTGTCACTGAGCGCTTGGCCTATCGAAAATTGGAAATCCAAGGAGTCTGCTTGAAATTTTGATGCTTAAGACAACTTTAAAACCAACATGTCAAGTGCCTATCGGATGGTCAGTTGAGTCTGTATATCAGATATAGGAGATATAGAGGTTTAGAAGATACTGGAGACATTGTAGATACAAAATATTGCTGAAATGATACAAAATACTATCATTAAAACTCTGAAATACACTGAAGAGATAGTACTGATTTTAAGAAATTGTAGTAGATTGATAATATTAATAGCTTTAAAACAAATGAACAAAACTAAATATGTAATTTGTATTTGATGGAAAGTCTCTTTTAATAAATTATCAAGTTATGAACTGTTTCAAAATGTTCTCTTCAACTGTCCTAATAAGTTGCAAAATGAAGTAAAAGGTTTCAAATATTTTGATTAAAGTATATCTATCTGATTATCTTTAGGAGTTATATAAATTATTGAATAATGGATGCAAACAAATAAAGAAAAACTACAAAGTGATTCTTCAAAACCATTGAAAAATATTATACAAAAGGAAATTTTATTTCAACGAAGAACGTTCTACTATTTGCAACAAAACAATCTAGTTTTCATTTATCTACAAATTTGAAAAATATATTATTTTTGATGATTGTATATTTTTTACAATAATAACTAATTCTGAGATAATTATTTTTGATAGTGCTAAAAGTGACTTTTTTACAAGCAAAAATTCACTTATTAGACACTGTGCTGCACTCGAGAAAACTTTGAATGCTTTTTTACTATTATATTCGAATTGTGGCTAATAAAACTGTCTAATAATATGTCCATTTAACAACTTTGTCTCATATAGTAACAATTCCTAGAAAATAAGAAAATAAGAAAAAGTCGAATTTTCTACAATAGAGATTTTCTATAAAAAAAAATTTTTATAATTTTTCAATCAAAAATGGCACAAGATTGAGCACAACACTTGATTTTTTCAAGAACTGTTCATTCTATAATTTAGAATAAAGACTACTTATTATCTCTTGAATTAACTGTAGTTATACGTTATGCTCTTAAAATTGTTTATTCTTTTTTTCAAGAATGCCTTTCTTAGTACTATCTGGAAAGTCTGTTGTTTTCCAACGAGAGATATTAAATTTCTGAAGAAAAATTTGAAAAGATGGCTTTGTGTAGATTTAAAAACAGACTTTGCAGTTGAAAAAAATCATTTTTCCTCTGAGAGTAGTATGCATGTTTTACGTTGTGCCAAAACTTGCTTTACAGAGGTTATAAATGAATTGAAACGAAATAAAGAATATTGTATTGATAGAAAACTAAACTAAGCATTTATGCACAAAAAACAGCTTTTCGGTATTTTTCGGATTTTTAACTTTTTCATCTTGCAATTTTAAGAAAGCTGACTTGACTTGATTTATCTTACTCTGTGAAATGCTCAAGTAAAAATACACAGCTAAGAATATTTATATGCTTTGTTTTTTTCTGATATCTCTGCATTGCGATGTCTTTGTTATAGTAAACGATGTTCATCGATCCTGATGGTAATGATAACAAAGACTTTTCAGTGTAAATCATACCGCTGGTAATATCAAAGATATTTGTGAATGAGACATAATTTATATATGTGGTTTGACATCAAACTAATAGAATAGAAAACGAACACTATAGTAATAGTCTTATCTTACTTAGCTTCGTGTTAAAAAAGCGAAAGCGAATTTAATATCCTCTTTCCTTTCAAGCCATATCCATAACCGTTTTTGTTTCATTTGGTTAATTGATTCATTGACTTTGCAGTTTCTTCTAGAACTTTAGCGATAGCAGTGTTGAATCTCATTAGTGTGATATGCGTTGTTGAATACTGAATAATACGCTTGTTCATTTTTCACAATCCTTGATCCAGAAGTATGGTTGCTGTCTTTCCAACAGCAACGAATAATATGAAAAAGACGAGGACTAAATAGTATAAGGCGTAGTCGCTCACAATCAAGTTCACAATCATCGGAAATGCATCGAAGATGTGGATACTAAATAGGATTAAAATATTACGAAGAAGGTCAGAATCACGATTTTGTCGTCTGGATGTTTCTGTTGATCATGTAAACGTACTATTTCTACTACGTTTGCTCGACAAAAAAGATAAGTATACGGAATAACAATATATGGTGTTGGCAAAAGTAACACATCCTCATTGTGTAAACAATATGGATGAGAAATTTTTTTCTGATTCGACAAAGTGTATTTGGAACATAATACATATCTTTAGTGACAACGACAGGTAATGACGTAAGTATGATAGCGATTCATTGAATAGCAATAAGAATAAGATGTGTTTTTAATGAAGTTAACCATCGATATTTCGTAGAGAGTACAACGAAAAAATAACGTGATATTGCTGGAATCAAATATGAATAAACAACAGCAGCAATCACCATATACCCAAAGTACTTACACCATCGATAAGATATGTCACTAGTATTCCAAATGATAAAATCGAGAGAAACATAGTTATTACATTGTACTGCACTGTAAAATAGTGACCAAAAACATGTATTACAAATCAAGGAATAAGTGATCATATATAAATGTTTCGCAAATGCAAATAAGAAGATGGTAAGACAAGAAAGTAAGATGCCGATCAATGTCAAGCTAATTGCCATTGGAATAACTACGGAGTAATTTATGAGCTCTAGAGGTTCGTTTACTTCTCTTAAAATTAAATAAATGAGCAAAAATCCATATCAATATTAATATATCACGTTTTATTAATCATACTTGTGCCGCTAACGAATGTTGTTTTGGCAATTTATAATGGCCTGAATATATAAATGTTGAAAAGACAGGAGAAATTTGTTTTATTAGATAATAGAGAGTAAATGTGAGGAATAAATGAAGAAAATAATATGCATTTAGACTTTTTATATCGATAAACTCTCAGTGAGTAATATACAAGAATAAATTTTAAAAGTCTATTTTCGATATCTATTTTGAAGAGAGGAGCATCTTTACAGATTTCTCTAGTGTGTTTCGTACATAGCAAGCTTTTTCCCATTGATTTTGTTCTTTCCTTGATGCAAAAAAATTATAGGATATCATTGACAAGTAGCTTGCTTAAAATTGTTTAACAACTTTTTCATTGTGTCAAAGCATGTAGTTTTATAAGTGGGTGTGATGTGTGGATGTAAGCGTCCTTATCGCCCAGGTCTACCCACACTTCATTCTAGGGCAACAGAATTGTATAGACTGATGTTAAAAAATTGATGTTCTTGAAAAGCTTTAATAAAATGATTCGGGATCCGAAACAACAGAACAGTGAATATTTTCACC